ACTGAACGATCGACTATCTGCCTGTGCTTTTTGTTTTTTGGATTTTTACGTGTGTGTATGATATTCATTGTGGGGAATTTTAGGTAGATATGCAGTGTCGGTTCTTCTCGGTCAGTCAGTTAACTGCAGCTAGTTAGTTCAGTCAGTCTCGGTCATATAATTTATTTATGGATGTATTTTTGCTCCCTGGATTTCTTAATTCTAATACAACAGAAATGCACACTCAGACATACATGTCTTACATGATGACATACTTGCAAAGCATATATATTGATCGATTCATATTTAATGTACATCTAACTACATGTATATGAACCAGGAGGAATGTTAACCTCTAAATACATTGTACAAGCAATTAAAGCAATGAAAATGGGGAAATTGTGTACGTGTATACTTGTATAAAACCTGCAAATGTGATAATTTATAATGTAGCAAGTTTAAAAAATAGCAATGAAATAAATGCGTTTTCATTTTAGAGACAGCAGGGAATAAACATGTATCATAATTTCTTATATTTCTTATTATTAATATATATGAAAACCTTTAGTACCAAAATTACCTTATTAAAATCTAAGTACCATTTGATATTAATAACAAAAAATATATGCGCGACTCCTGTTTCATGTGTAAATGGTATTTTAGCTGGCATAGTATGGACATATATTGCAATCAAAATACTAATAACTGAAATAGTATGCATTCAAACAATTTTATGTTTATTAATGAATGCTATTTAATTATTGAATGTTCGTTGCTTTATTAAGTATATAATTGAGAATGAGATGTAACTGCATGTGTATAAATGATGCAATGAGAAAATGGTGATGGAGACGTCAGATGTCCATGATGACAATTACAGAAACGTTGGTGAGGATGAAAAATATTAAAGAAACCTTTCAATAAATGATGGACTTAAAATAGTTTTAGAATGTCTTAATTCTCATGTGTACAAATTGCTACTAGGTAAACTCGAAAGTTGTTCACACATGCATCTTTACGTTATTGGCATAATTAGTACTGAAATCATTCCATGGGTTCTTTATAAACATGTATCCCTATACCTAAAAGACAGGATATCAATTATAACCAAGCATTTTTCCATTTATCAACTAAGTAACAGACAACAAAATTGAACAAATAACATGTATTTGTTCTACATGTATAAATGAAGTTTACACACATTCTATATTGGGCAAATCTTAGTTAAATGTGGTTTTATTTCAAACTTGGACAAATAGAGTACGTACGGTTCTACTTGCTGTCACACGCAATTCCCCGGCACCAAACTTGCTATTTGCTCTCGCCGATAGTTCGAATAGCCATCGATTAATCAGCGCTGATAGGAAAAGCATGTGCGCTACATTTCGACCGTCGCTCGAGCCCACACGTCGGCAAATGCAGACGGCGCCGTGTCGCAGCGCCATAAGGAGAAAGCACGCGTAGGCCGCGAAGTGGTCAAACGCGGGTGCTACGTACGCTCGGTAAAAGCGACGTTTCACTGTTTGCGTTGCGCGCCGCCTGTGTATGTATAACAGGTTTAATGACATCGCCTCAGTCTTCGTTTGACGTTACGCTACATTCATTGATGAGGAAGAGTACGGAAAGTCGGGTTGGCTGAGAAGGGGCGTGAGACAGCCGCGGCGTCACGGGGAGGGGGGGGGGAGGCGGTTGCCCCCCTATAATTTAAAAAAAAAGAAGGAAAAAAAAGAAAAAAAAGAGAAAAAGAAACTGGTTCGACGGGCCTGAAAGCTGTTGTTGTGCGGGGGAGGGGGAGGATTCAGCCCGAATCCCAGCTCTTGCTAATTCTAATTATTAAAACCCTTTCACTGCGGGCTCAGACTGCGGGTCCCGGGGCGTCTATTTTTTCCGTACCACTATTGCGTAACGCTGTTTTATGGTGTCTTGTGACCCTAAACCTAAGGACGTGGATATTCGTCCGAGCAAAATATACACACAAGTACAAACAGTCAACCTAACCCAACCCTAACCGTAACTCTAAACCGACTCGGCTATCAGATATACCGGTGTCATATAGTACCCAAATTAATCTAGGGTGTATAACCGTTCGTAGTGATGCGCACCGATGCTCGGACGAATATCCACGTCGCTAACCCTAACCCTAACCCTAATACTAACCCTAACCCTAACCCTAATACTAACCCTAACCCTAATCCTAACCCATAGCGTTACGCGTTACGCATTAGTGCCGTTTACTAGCCGGGGGTGCTAGGGGGTGCTGCAGCAACCCACGTTTTTTTAGTTGAGTACAGTAAAAACCCGCGTATAAGAACCTAGTGATTAAGAACCTGTTAGGCTAAAATTTTCCATTTAGACACCCTTGACATAAGAACCTGTTGTAGCCTAAAATTTGAAACAGGTTCTTATTTGATAAAATTCAGTTAACACTTTAAAATTCATAAATCAACTAAAACAAGGTCTTGGTGGTCTATATACCATTATTAGGTATAAATGGCATAAAAAGAAATAAGAACGTAGAATAGGGTTTGTATTTGTCTAGATTGCAGTAATTTAGACATAATTATAGGAATATTTTGTATAAACAATGGACCGCCCCAATATTCTACCAGCCACAAGCACTTTTTTTTCTTAAGAAAATAAGAACTTATTTAAGAACCTAAGTAGCCTAATTTACCAGTACACACCAATTATATAAGAACCTTTTTAGGCTAACTTGGAAAAATACAGGTTCTTATACGCGGGTTTTTACTGTAGTGTGTGTGCACGTACACGTGCGTGCGTGTGCACGTACAAGTGCGTGCATGTGCACGTACAAGTGCGTACGGCGTGTGCACGTACACGGTTAACTACGAACTCGCTTATAGGGAAAACAATGCCAAGCTATGACAAAAGAAGCGTCAAAGGCGCCGCCTGTCTGTGTAGTATGGTAATTATTTATTTATTTTTAGTTGAGTAGTAATTTTATAATGTTTTCTCAATAAAATAATGCATGCTGCGGTATGCTGGAAACACCTGCGGAAATTTCGAGTGGTTTACGGCACCTCGTCAGCTCGTGTAAAGTTATGCAAAGGTTTACGTAAATTTTAGCTTGATGAATTGCACCTAAAACGGCCTCGCTTGCGTACACGAAATCGTACGCAAATTTACTAAATAACTGCGTTGATAAATCGCAACTAAGCAACGTCGATTGCGTACACAAGATTTACGCAAAATATTTTGTCTACGCAGCTTGATGAATCATGAATCTACCCCTAGACCCCCCCACCTTCGCGGGCTCGCAAGTTTGGGTTACAGTTAGAACCCCCCTGGTATAAATTCTGTACACGCCCCTGGTTTCGTCCCCCTAAGAAAATCCACCAGCTTCCACCAGCTTCCTTCTCCCCCTCCTTATCCTCTTCTCCCTTCTCCCCCTCCTCCTCCACCATCTCCCTTCTCTCCCTCCTTCTCTCCTTCCTCCTTTCCTTCCTCCTTCTCACCAGCTTCTCCCCCTCCTCCACCACCTTCTCCCTTCTCCCCCTCCTCCACCACCTTCTCCCTTCTCCCCCTCCTCCACCACCTTCTCCCTTCTCTCCCTCCTCCACTACCTTCTCCCTTCTCTCCCTCCTCCACTACCTTCTCCC